ATAGTCATAAACATTAAATCGATCCAACGCGAATCTAATAAACGAATGATTTATATTAAATCCGAACACGTGTTTTGTATATACGTATATAATACATAAATCTATGTATGTATAATAAATATATACCGATGAAATTTCATGATCCACTTTTACAACAATTAACCATCTTGAAACATTTACAAACCATTATAATATATATATATAAAAACTACATTCATATGAAAAAAAGTACACATCGATGTATAATAATAATATTAATAATAATAGTAATCATTTCGATAGCAAAAAAAAAAAGGAAAATATAGCATTACATCAATACAGGGCTCAAAAAAACACTAAACTGTATTCTACACTTGGTTCTGTCATATCGTTGCCATACTGAAAGATTATATTAAAATAGAGATAGAATATGAATAAATTAGCAAAACGAAGGAACAAACACAAGGATAATAATTAATTTGAACTTTGCTCGAAACTTCTTCTCTGTTTCTATTAATTCTAATTTATTTCATTTTTTTGAATCTAATTCTTTGCAAGCTCGTTTCACTTCGTTGTGCTAATCGTTTCTCGTGTTGATTAAATGTTTGCATCTTATTCCTTCGTTGACCGTTTCGTCGCTTACAAATTAGAAACGATGAAGAGAGTGAGTATGAGAGAGAGAAAGAGAAAGAGAGAGAAAAAGAGAGAGAAAGAGAGAGATAGGGACAGAAAAAAGAGAAGAGATATCACTTGCGAGACGTAAGCCTTAACGAACGAATTAATCTCCATAATGGAAAGGTCAAGTTGAGTTGGTTGTTTACTCGTTCCACCATTTCGTATTTTTCCCTCATTTCGTTAACGCCTACGATAAAACTAGCCTGTCTTTAGTGAAATTATCGATCGAAATTTGTATTCGAATGACAACGATCGTTATACTACGTTTGTGTGACTGTTTTCTAAAAATTACCATTCGAATCGAAGGATATGAAAAGATAGATAAAGAAAGAGAGAAAGAGAGAGAGAGATAGAGAGATAGAAATAATTTTTATATTGAAAAAAAGAATGTATCTTTCGATTCAAATAGTATAAATCTATTTGATTGAAATCTATTGTTAATATAAAGTACCGGTGATTAGTGAATTATTTAGATTTTCTTTTCATTTTAAATGAACTCTTTTGTTTTGTAATTTGTTTCAATTCTCACTGAATTATCTGCAACTTTGATATCACGCATTAAATTCGCACAAATATGCGTATAAATTGATGGGTTAATTTGTTAATAAAACTTTTTTTATACCAATTATAGTTAATATTAGTTAAACGAAGTGTTAACAGTTAGAAATGACTCGAGAGAATTTTAAAGAAAAATGGACAAATATTTTAAGAGGGATGATTTCACAGTGCAAAAAGTTAATTCTCGTTAATTAAAGTTAATTTTCGTTAATTTAAACGAGTCCACGAATCACCGTTACATATATATTCCCGTTACGTTGCTATCTGTATGTATATATAGAAATAATCGATCGGTTATACATATGTGTAGGTATCTGTAGATAAATGAAATTATAGATGATAGAGAGAAAGGAAGAGAGAAAGAAAAATAGATAGATAGATAGATAGAGAATGAGAGAGAGAATGAGAGAGACAATCTATATTGGGGGATACATACTTGCTCTTCCGACCATTTGAACAGCTCGCACGCCTTTCCGGAATGTGGCCACTGCCCGGAGGGAGGAGAACCAGAGCTGTTAGTTGTCACACCAAAATAATGTCAACCTATATACGAGGTTTACAATGCGTGAAGGGAAATCCGAGGGTCTAAAGATCGACGTGTTTCGCTGTCGGTATAAATTGAAAAAAAAGAAGAAAAAAAAAAGAAAACATACGACGGAATAAAAATCTAAATCTTTCGTACTAATTGTAAATTAATTCTCGATAATAACATTTCAATATCGAATAATATCAAATAATCATTTCTTCGAGATTAATTGAAAGAAGTACGATCGATTAGATTTCTTTCACGTGAAGACGTTCGACGTAAATTAAACAATATATCGATATATATATATCGTCTTACTCATTGTCATCTAAATTCAAAAATTAATTCATTTTGTTGTTCTCTTATAGAGACACTCTTATTATACCGTCAGAGATATGCGAACAAAGAACATTTGGCATTTCATTTAAAAATTCATGTGCACAATTAATTTCTACGAAAATTGGTGGAACTTGGGTGATGATTTCTGTTGTACGTACAAATATTAATTATAAATCGTAGACATTTAAATCGCTTGCTCTCTCAACGGATAAAATGGCCCTTTCTAGTTTGGTGAGATATTCAGACCACGTAAAACGAAGTTACGCAAAAATTGAGGAAATTGTTGGATCAGGTTAAAAGGGGCAGGGTGCAGGGGGTAGAGGGTTGTTTGACACAAATAACACAGGCATAACGAGCCAACTGAATTCTTCTCTACTCAAAGTATGGATTAATAATTAAAAAAAAAAAGAAATATTATAATCGTTGCTAACTTTCTTAAAAGTGACTTGTATTCTTTACGAATCGCGAGTTGGTAAAGAGCTCTCGAAGGGTATACAAACTCTTCTCGTTTGAATCTCGAGTCAAAGAAGTAGTACGGACTAAGTAGACACCTGAGAGTCGACCACTTAAGGAACCTTCATCAATGCTTGTCAGTTACGATTGAAAAGACCACCAGAGATTAAAACGGTGTGACGATGTTATGATTTATTATTGTTTTTGTCATAATCGTTTAATGATTTTTAATGTTGATGCTGATATACGATTAAATATGTGTCGATGTTCATGTATTATAAATAATATATAAGTATATTTATATGTACTACTTTATATTATAGCTGATATATTGAGAATGCTTCGTATTGAAAGAAAAAAAGGTAGTATTAGATATTTTTTCAAAAAGTGGGTGTGTTTGATAAACCCTGGGCATCGATAATGTATTTCGAAAAATCTCGTCTTTTATTTTTTTTTTTTTTTCATCTTTAATAAGGATCATAAGATTATTCTTGCTAGAGAAGAAAATTATAATAGTAATAATAAGAAGAAAAAGAACAAGAAAATAAAGAAGAAAAAGAGGAAGAAAAAGAAGAAGAAGAACAAGAAGAAGAAGAAAAATGGGTTACAGAGTTACACGACGATGAGAGATCGTCATCCAAAGGCCTTTGTGTGTCAGAGTTTTATGAACGTGTCTCAAGTCAAGGTTAATGGATGCTTCTAATTTTACATACATACATACATACATACGTTCATACATAAGTACATACATACGTCCATACGTACATAATACCTATACGTATTACATAGGGTACACTTGGGAACTATAAGGATAAGATCGCATTTAACCACCATAATTTGTAAAATGGTTGCTCGTACACACATCGCGCTGGTAAATAAGACGTTATGAGGGTCCTATCAAAGTTTATATAGATAAAGAGAGAGAGAGAGAGAGAGAGAGGGAGAGAGAGAAAAGAGTGGGATGGATAATCGATAGATTTTATGACTCGCTTGTTACAACTAGAACGATCGGTATATTGGCAACACCTTAGTCAGAGCTGATTTGCTAAAGTCTATTAACAATTAATACGCTGATATTGCGATTTACGTAAATACATATAACATTTTATAAAGTATAAATATACTATTATTCTGTTGATAGAAGAACATTATAATATAAACGATTAGAGTTAGAATAAAAATGCTTAAAAATGCATGAACATTAGAATGAACGCCGATTCGAGTATTCGATGCTTTTCAATTTCTTGTCGAATCGGCGTGGACAAAAGCTGCGGCAAAGGTCGGCTGGGAAAAAATGGGGAATAAATGAAAAAAGTAATATATAAAGAAGGAAATTTTATAGAACGCACAACAATTAGCGTGAGTGTTATTATCAAATAATATTCGTGTTAACTTATTGTTATAGTTTTAAATTGAACGATTAAAGAGTGAAATCCAGCCGATCGAATTAATTCGGCGAAAGCACACCGAAGCGACGATTAATTACAACAATTAATAGCAAGCCTGTAAATTGTGAGAAAACAAAACAAATTCAAAAAGAAAATAAATCAAAATAATAATATAACAAAACGTATTAACTAAATAGTAAAACTAAAAAAAAAAAAAACGGGCAATAACTTTTCGTCGATCAGTGATACGTCACAGGCACTAAGAATATGTGTAAACACAGAGAGAGAAAGAAATAGAGAAAGATAGAGTAAAATAGAAGAATCATCAAGACGTTCGAAGTAATAACGTGCTTTAGCATGAAATAATTTGCGCTTTTTTTTTTTACTATTTTTATTTTGTTGCAGATAAATCTCTAAAATAAGCGAACGTTTTTTATTTTTTAAATCGTCTCCCACGCGTCATTTAACCGACTCGTTTTAATTAATCTAAAACGTTTTAAATTTGATTAAAATGAAAAAAAGAGAAAAACAATAGCGATTATAGGATGCTTCGAAGATACTCGAGACACTTGCTATACTAATAGCACTTGCAAAAGGCGAATAATTCATACATTACGAATTGATACGTATCTCAAGTAACGAAGTAACGGAACAACTTCTTACAGATAAGATGAGGTAAACGATTATTACTTACTTCATCTTGTCTGAAATCATTCTTTTTTTTTTTTGTTTCTTTATAACGACACATATAAAAACTTTGTGTGCGAATTCAACCATCTTTGGTGAAGGTAAAACGAAGAGAAAGAGAAAGAAAGAAAGAGAGAGAGAGAGAGAGAGAGAGAGAGACATAGAGAGAAAAGTTAAGAAACGTGAAGGAATAAAGGTATAGTGATTTATAAGAACAACAAAAAGTAATTTATCAGAATAATTTTGACGATTGAAATTTGTCGATCAATATAATAATTATAATAATTATTATTATTGTGTTATTTTAATTCTGACAAATTATATTTTTTAAATAGGATAATTGTAAGGATTGGAAAATAGGGGGAAAAAAGAGGTTGTGGTAGAAACAGGCGTACCATCTAAGTAACTGCTGTAGGCAGTGTTTCCTTTCACCATGCCAGTCTGCATCATCATCATCCCCACATCTGGAAAAATTCAGCGATCGACCCGGGAGCGGGTTCGTAAATAGAGATCAAGAAATAGAGATAAAAAGTGGGATTGAGGCTGTGTGCATCTAGGAGAATATTATTTAAACATATAGTAGATAATCGTTAGATCTTTACGAAAATTAATAAAGATATGTGCGTACGAGAAGACGAGAACACGCTAAAGGTAGAAAGATACAACAAAAATGGAACTGAGTAAACTTCTAAAAAGCTTCGAATTAGTATACTTGCAATTAGATTAAACCGAAAAAAGAAAGTAAGAAAGATAGAGAAAAAGAGAGAGAGAGAGAAATAGTGAGAAGTAGATCAAAACCGAAAAAAGTTAGTCAATTTTAATAAAAAAGAAAAGCTTTTGAGAAGTTTATACTTTAAACATTTACGATCAGATATATTTTATGACAACGACGGTTGGAATACTTTTTCGACGATTACGCTGTCAAAAAGAGATTTTTGGAAAAAAATAACAAATAAAAAAAAAGTAATCGAAAAACTATATATGAACAGAGATAATCGTTAAACGTTGAAAACTGAATGACAGGAATCACAAGTTCGACGATTACCTTCGACGTTCTCTCATATTCTCTTCGAGTCTTTCGATACCTGGAATAATATAATTAACTGAAACCTTAGGAGTTAGTTGACTGATAGTTTAACGAAAATCGTCTCATTGCCCAGGGTTTAGGACAACGTTTAAGTGTTCAATGTGAATCGTGTGATCTTCGTAAACAGATTGTTACACCTAACGATGTTAATTAAATACAACGATACGATATGTCCGATTACAATTTTTAATCGATTTAGATTTGTTATCAATAAAAGAGTAAGGATTGTAGCGATTAGGGTGAGAATTTCTGTCCATTCGTTGAATTGAAAATATCCTATTACATGTACTTAAAATGTACGTGGTGATGTGTGTGTGTGTGTGAAAATGCGTGCATGTGAAAGTCGAATATTTCAATTTTCGTTCCTCTTTCTTTTTAAAAACACATCCTTTGATGAGATTTCATTGGCGTGATTGCAATCGACGATGTCGACGTAATATTATTTTAGAATTTTATAATAAACCACAGTATTATCGTAGATATAATCATTTTTTTTTCGATCTCGCGCGCAATACGAAATCGAATTTGACTTTTTATTGGCGAATTTCGCTCGATTTAGATTAGGGTAGATAAATATGAAACAGAGAGATAGAAATAGATAGACAGAGAAAGATAGTTACAGATAGAGAGAAATAAATATAGTAAGAGAGAGAGAAGAGATGAAGGATAAAGTTAAGAGAAATGGAAATTAGGATGTAGGAATGAAAAAACAGTAGGAACAGAAATGCGAAATAGAGAAAGATAGATAAGAGAAAGAGAGAGAAAATGTGATGAAGAGAAAAAATAGAGATTGTAGGTTGCAGAGGATATAACTGTTAACAGTAACATTACGTGAAGCTATCATACCGTAGTAAAGTATGAATACCAAGTAAGTGCCAAATCCATACCAAGTAAGGCATTAAAGAAAACCGTATTGGGAACTATAGTCATGCATGCAAAAACGAACGAACGAGAAGAGCACACACTATAGTGCAGGCTAATTTTCTCAGTGGGGATAGTCAGGTGGTCATGCCAGGCCAGCTGACAAATTTATTAGAGAATCACGTGTCACGTGTGTCGTTATATATCAGTCAATTTATTATAATGAATAATTAATGAATAATTAATGTTAGAATAATTTATCAGAAAAATTAATCGAACGATCGATCATTGTGTTCGTTCGACGCATGTTTCTTTTTTAATTTTAGTTTTTTAAATAAATTTTGTAACCTTGAAGAATCACAACGATAAAATGTTAAACTTTCGATGTATATACTAGTAAAATACGAATTAAAAAATTTGATAATTATCGTAAAACAATATTATTTGCATTACTTTCTTCGTCATCGTCATCGTCGTCGTCATTGTAGTCATCATTGTTACAGTCATTGTCCTTGTTTAAACAGCAATTAAAAAATTGTAAAAGAAGATTTGCATACTTCTTTCTCCTTTTATTTTTTGTTACATTATTAAATTGTTAAGTATTAAATCTTGTTCATCGTCACAGACACACACGCATACGCACACGCACGCACGCACGCAAATTTGAGTTAGAAATTTAGAAGCATACGCATTCTCGTGGGGCACAGACAGGAAAATGTACAGAGAGAAATAGATAGATAGATATAGATATAGATATAGATACAGAAGATAAAGAAAAACAGTAATAGAGAGAGAGAGAGAGAGAGAGAGAGAGAGAAAGAGATAGAGAGAAAGAGATAGAGGCAGGGGTGGAAAGGAAGTAACAAGAAGAAGACAGAGAAAGTGAAACAGGAAACTTGCAGGTAGTATGCCATATACAGATAGATATTTCAAACAGTAAGTTGTAAAAACGCAGGTAGAAAATAGAGACAAATAGATACAGAGATAAAGATATAGCATAGTCAGGATAGTGATACAGCAGAGAAGAAAAAGAAGAAGAAGAATAACGATCTTTTAGCCAGTATAGTGTAAAAGAATAGGAGAATAAGAATAGAGAAATCTTTGGCATAAAAGGGTAGAGAAGAGGGTCAAAGAAGAAGATAACGACGAAATGAACAACAAAACAAAAACAAAAAAATGAAACAATTGTTAGACGATAGGGTGAAAGAATGTCTATTATCAGACCAAGCGAGCGTGTATAAGACGTTACCTAAGTCCCGGCCCCAGGAGCGTTGCTGCTGCCCCACTAAATCATATATGATAAATAAAGTGGTCATAATTATGTCACTCGGTTAATCGTCGCAATTATTACTGAAACGTCGCTTAATAATATAAACATAATAAATTACTAAATATACGGGGATGGATATCTCGTTTTTTGAGGGTTCATTGTTAGAGAGAAAAAGACAGATAGAGAGAGAAAGAAAGAGAAAGAGAAGGAGAAAGAGAGAGAGAGAGAAGCACAAGAAAGAGCAAGAGAAAAAGAGAGAGAGAGAGAGACAGAGATAGAAAGTTTAGTAATATAGAATAAGGGTATTAATTAGTTGGGTGAAGAAAGCATATTGCGCAGTGTTTGTCGGATCGTACACAATATTTGAATTGTAAGTCGATTTTAAAATCAACTTTTGTCTAAGCAGGTATTTCTATAATTCTAAATTAAATATAAATATATATATATGAGTCAGGCGAGTTTCTCGATGAGAGAAATAAAATATAATTTGTGGAAGAAGAAATATCATTTGATATCCTATATCGTTAGAAATATTAAATATAAGAATGGTAATATACTAATACTTATAATAATAAGAATAATAAGAATTATAAGAATAATAATAGTAATGATCATGATGAAAATAATAATAATAATAATAATAATAATAATAATAATAATAATAATAATAATAATAGTAAAAAGAAGAAAAAATAGGGCCGATTTAAGGCTCGCTTTTTGCCTTTCGACGTTCTTTTTTTTTAATTTTTTTTTTTTTTTAATGCACCCTTTAAAATGTTATTATATATTACCTCGTGCACAGACACTCGTATCGTTATCGTATTATCGCGTTATGCACTCGGTATCTCTGTCAAAAACGATCCGAATTGAATTAGTTGGCAGAAGATTTGATAAGGATTCATTATTTTTTTTTTTGTTATCTTTGTTAAAATTTCAAGAAAGTACTTTTTTTTTCTTGCATTTAGTATGATTGGTATATTCTTGAATTATAGTTAATAGATCAATGACTGGAAAAACTTACAGTTTTTGCACTTGCATTTCTTGATTAGTGTCTCGTCTTTAATTTCATCGTGGCATGCTTTGCAATAGAACCACGCCCTGAAAAATTAAAACAAGAAAGAGAGAGAAGATTAATTTATCGATTTTTTTTTTTAAATAATTTTTCTTGTTAATTTATCTATATCGATTGTTTGTCTTTTACTTTTGTTTCTTGGATAAAAAAAAAGGAATCGTCATTTAAATGAATTTTTTCAATAAGGCCATCATTATGCATTTTGATTAAAAACTTACCGCTTGACTTCGTCCGCGGATTGAGCGATAAAGAATCCCTGAGTATTTGCAGCGATTTTGGCACCACGTGGATTGATCGAAATTTTACTGTCGACACCTCCTTCGCCCTTGATCTCAATCGCCAACAGGAGCAGCTTCAGTTTTGTGAAGCACAACCTATGATACGTTTACGCGTAATATTTGTCCAGATATTTGTTCTCCATCCAATAAAACATGTTACAACCAAAACAACTATGAAGATATTTAATATGTGAATGTCTAATCTATCGCGAAACATCGACTGAACGATTAATTGCGAACGATATGATATTTATGCGATTAGGTTATAGGTAAAAGCGAAAGGTGTTTACTACGAGGTAGCTGTTCGATAGAAAATCAAATAAAATATTATTTTTCTTTTTGTTAAAAGAAAAAAAAAGAAAAGAGAAAAAAAACTCTTATTTTACTAAACTACTAGGAAATTATTCTTTTTAAGAGCCACCTCGTAGATTACGTGCCACTTATACTAAACACAATGAAAATGCACTCGTCGACTTTAAATAAATGATTCGTAAATGACACGGAAAAGCGTAAGAGAGAAAGATAGAGAAAGAAAGAGAGAGAGAGAGAGAGACGATCGATGCGAGCGAGTCCCAGTTTCACGATTTCTATGTATGTAATGCATGTATATGTACATGTGTATATGTATATATACGTGTATATACCTACTTAAGTCTGAAAAAGAAGAAAGAGAAAAGCAATTAAAAGGATGACTCGCATAGCATCGATCGTTACTGTCATTTCGTTGTAATAATGAAAGGATAGTGAAACTTTCTTTGGTATCATCGATTTTTTTTTATTTTTCTTACAAAAATTTTGAAATCGGGATCATCGTGTTTCTGTAATAATATCAAAAATAAAAAAATAAATTATAAAGAAGGAGAAAACAACGAGTTTCTTTTCCAATGAGTTTCAATATCCGTACGACGATTACATTCGAAAGACTTTTTTTTAATTACGTTTTGAGTGGAATCACTCGACTATTGATAGGGAGTCTTATAAATCGTATAGATTTCTACTGCATTACAAATTTTCTCGAAAAACAAATCTACGTCTAGATGTCAGTGGTAGCACAAATTTTGAATCTTAATTTTTAGACAATTTTTGACAATTTTCATAAATTGTTATGCATCAAAATAAACACGTGAAATCTTAATGAATTTTCGATATCAAAATAATCACATTTAAAGTCTATATTTTATTTTATTATTATTATTATTATATTATACTTTTTTTTCTTATATTCACTGATACGAGATGTACAAAAAAAAATGTTAAATAAGAATTTTGAAATCTCCATGAATCTTATGCATAGAAATAATCTCATTTGAAAGGAATGAATTGTCTTTTTAAATTAAAAACTGAGAAATATCTTTATTAATATCATCTTTACGTTCGAGCAAAAAAATGTAAAGCTCGGTTGAAATTTCAGTCAATAAAGAATGACACGATGACAATTATAAATAATTTGCGCACCACTGGTCTAGACTCTCTCGATCCCTTCGTGATTAAAGTCGAGTCAACCCTTTTCTCTGTCACGTATGTATGCACATTTATATATGAATGTATGTATGCATGAATGTATGTACTAGTTTCTCACATAAAACGCTACGACTTGCCATTATACCGAAACGAGCATAGGTAACAACTCGGAGATCGTAAAAAAGAATGAAAGAGTAACGTCGTACTGTATACATCGCGTCACCGTAAAAGAAAACGTAATTGCTCGTTAAAGAATTAAAGCGAGTCGTGCGAACGAAAAGTGCGAAAGATCAACAAAGTATACATATACCTCACGTAACCATGTATCTGAGTAAGTATATATATACTTTGTATGTATGAGATTTAACGAATGAATGAATGAATGAATGAATGAATGAATGAATGAATGAACTAATGAATCTATGAATATATACACACGTATTACATAAATTTAAAAGAAAGAAAAGAAACGAAAAATTTGAAGAAAAACGAAATAGAAGAAATGAAAAAGAAAAGTAGAGCCCATTACAGAGAAGGTCGTTTATTATGACTTTTAAATATGCAACAAGGTATATATATTATCCTCGTGTCTTAAAACACGCATTGTAAATGATCTAACAAGAAAAGGGGGGAGAACATTTTTTTTACCAAAATGTGAATTAGTACTCTGTAATGCGTCCTCGGATAAATATAGTAAGAGAGAAAAAAAAGAAAGAGATAAAGAGAGAGAAAAAGAGAGAGAGAAAGAGAAAGATAGAGAGAGAAAGAGAAAGATAGAGAGAGATAGAGAAAGAGAGAGAAAGTGAAGAAAAGCATTCGTCATGCAAAAAAACGGGGGTGGTAAGCCACGTAAATGACATTCTTGCGAAAGCGCCATGCGAGCGAATTGAAGAAGGGGTGAGTGGTGAGGTAAGGGGTATGCAGACTACAGGAACAATTAGGAACATCGAACAACTACGACAATGGAATAGTCATGCGAACATATAACGAAGGGTGTGCTGATATTCGTGCTACTAGTTACAACTACTACTAATACTACTACCATTGCTAGTAGTGATGGTGGTGGGGTGGCGCGTTTCTAATCTACGTTACTACTTCCTAATATCACGCTTGAGAAACTCGAGAGAAACTGCTACTGTATATGCGAGGCGAACTCGTCTCAATGTGTAAAATGTTATTAATTATATAGAAGTAAGTAAGTATGTAATGCTAGATATAACGAGTAAGCGTAGAAATAAATAATTAAAGAAATAAAAAAAAAGAAATATCCTTACAATTGTAATTATAATACATAAGAGTGACAGACTAGTTCATTTATTTATATCTGTGCTGTGTTTAAACGCTACAATTATTTCAACGTTTCACACTAATTTGTCAAGTTGTGTGTCCAAGGGTATATAATTAATTAATTTATATATTACTTAATTAATAAG